CACTGCGGCTGTCCCACTGCCGGCGTCCTCCGAAGCTGGAGACAGCAGACCAGGGAGACGGGGAACAAAGACAGCCGCGGCGCGTCTGGGCTGTCCCGCTGCCCGCGTGCTCCGCGGCTTTTCTCCGCGTCTCCCTGGTCTTCTGGGGGGGCTCCCCCCCCAGCAGACCAGGGAGACGCGGAGCAGCTTTTCTCGCCCTGGAGGACGCGGGCAGCGGGACCGCGGCGCATCTGGGCGTCCCGCCGCTCCCGTCCTCCATGGCGAGAAAAACATAAGTCGGATCCGCGTAACTCGGGGACTGCCTGTATTGGGATTGGTCCTGTCTTGGGCAGGGTGCTGCACTTGATGACCTCCTGAGCTCTCTTCCAGCTCTATGATTCTATGATATTGAACAGTACTTTTCAGACGCCCTGAGGGACATAACTTTTTACTTCTCTTCATTCTAAAGATTGACCATTTATTCCTACTCTTTGTTTTCTATATTTTAATCAGTTATTAATTCAGGAGGGAATCTTCTCCCTCATCCCATGACAGCTTACTTTGCTTAAGAGACTTCGGTGAGGGACCTTGTCAAAGACTTTCTGAAAATCTAAGTACACAATATCCACTGGATCACCGTTGTCCATATGCTTGTGGATCCCTTCAAATAATTCTTGTATATTGGTAAGCTATGATTTCCTTTTACAAAAACCATGTTGGCTTTTCCCCCAACCAATTATTTTCCTCTGTGTGTCTTACAATTTTACTCTTTCCTATAGTTTCAGATAGTTTTCCCAGTACTAAAGTTAAGCTTACCACCTCTGGAGCCCTTTTTAAAAAATGATGTCACATTAGCTATCCTCCAGTCATTTGGTACAGATGCTGATTTAAAGGAATGTTACAAACCACAGTTACTAGCTCTGCAATTTCACATTTGAGTCTCTTCAGAACTCTGGGGTGACTATCATCTGGTCCTGGTGACTTATTACCATTTAGTTTAACAATTGGTTCCAAAATCTCCTCTCATGACATCTGAGATAGTCCCTTATCTATTTGTTCATAGATTTTTCATGGAGCAGAAAAGAGGGTAAATTTATATGTATTTTGCTGTGAAGTAAATTATTCACTCATCTCTAAAAATGATATTCAACATGGACTAGATAAAAGAGAGAGATGAAATTTAAGAGAAGCAAAGATTGAAGCAAGCATTCTTGTAGACTAGTTCGAAGAAAAGGAGAAAATAGAAAGATATTAATTACAGGCCGAGAATTATGATGGCATTTGAGAAAGGAAATTACAGAGATTCATATACAGATATATATATATGTAATAAGAATTAGGTATGGAAATAGTATACACCAAAGCAAATCATTTAACAGTGAGGACTTCAGCAAGGACCTAACATGACTTTGAGAGCAGATATCAGTAATCTGCTGCCAAATCAGGGAGAACTTATGTAGCTGGGTACCATAGAGTTTGCTACTATTCAATATTTTCATTAATGACTTGGCTAATGGAGTTAATAGAATACACTTATTAAATATAGAGACAACACCAAAGTGAGAATGGTTGCAAGCACTTTGGAAGACAGAATTAAAGTTTAAAATTACCTTGATAAATTGGAAAACTTGTCTGAAATCAACAAAATGAAGACATTTTATAAAGATAAATATACTACATTTCGGAAAGGGAAATTAAATAAAAGTACAAACTGGGGAGTGCCTGGTTAGGTGGCAGTAATGTGGAAAAGAATCTGGGAGTTCCATTTGAAAATGAGCCAATGTAATGTAGTTTCCAAAAAGGTTAAAATCATTTTGGTGCATATTAACAAGTTACCTTATGTAAAACATGGGAGGTAATTGTCCCACTCTACTCTGGACTCATAAGGAACTTAGATGAAGTATTGTGATCAATTTAGGGTGCTGCTCTTTAAGAAAGTTCCAGATAAATTGGAGAGAGTGAAGTTATAAATAGCAAAATTATAAAAAGTTTAGAAAACTATTGGAAGGGTTAAAAACACTAGGCTTGTTTAGTCTTGAGAAAAGAAGACTGGAGGGTAGGATACTGAATAACAATCTTTATATATGTTAAGGGCTATTAGCAAGAGGACAGTGATCAATTGTTCTCTATGTCCACTGAAAGTATGACAAGAAGCATTCAGTTTAAACTGTGTAGATGTGAGGAAAATTTTTGTAACCATAAGCAGGGCTTGACAAACTGCAGCGAGAGCTACTCGCCAGCCCTGCAACACGTATGCGCCAGACCGGCACTGAGCATGCGTGCAACGCCGGTGAATGGGGTGCATGGAGCGACCAGCTGAAATCTACTCGCCATAGGCGAGTAGAAACAGCGGTTTGTCGAGCCCTGACCATAAGAATAGTAAATTATCGGTACAGCTTACCAAAGAGTTTATGGAATCCTCATCACTGGAAGATTTTAAGAACAGGTTAAACACCTGCCAGGGATGGTTTAGGTATGTTTGATCCTGACATAATGCAGAGGGATAGTGCAGATAACCTCTTGAGGTCCCCTCCAGCCCTATATTTGTATCATTCTGTAATGTACAGAAAAGTAAAGAACCTTCTAGGATTTGTGGAAAGAGACTTGTGGAGATATAGGAACCTGTGCTGGGGTCAGAGAAGGTTTTGGGAAGTTTATAGTATTCTGGGGCCACAGGGCTTGTTCCCTAAGGTTTGTGGTAGTTAATGTCTTCTGAAGCAGTTTGCATCCCTCTTATTTCTTTGCCATCACTAAAAAAAGAGTATATTTCTTATACATCAGAATTAAAGTTCATCACTAGAGCTAGGTGGAGAAGTCTAACAGCACTTGCTGGAGCAAAAGATCATATACGCCATTCAATCCCCTCAGTGTGTTCTTGTTGTGGAATAGGGAATTACATACAGGACATGGCAGTAATGTATGGCCTATTCCCGATTTTAACACAATTCAATTTCCAATTTAACAACAACCACCACAACAACCATCACCACCAAAACAACCACAGCCATAATACACAACAACATATAGTACAAAATCATATAAAAAAGTATTGCTATTGAAAAATTAGCAACCACAGTGGTTTCAGTTCCACAGTACTAACTAACCTGACCTCAATGACAATGCTGACAGACGGTCATATGCAAAACAAATGTAACCCCTCCTGTTGGCTAGCCCAGTGTGAGGTTATTCAGCATAGGGGAAGCTTGTGACTTCTTACACCACTGTGGGGGAGGGTTTGGCCTGAGGCTGCTTGGTGTGCTCTGCGCTGTGTATGTGTGAGTGCACCTCAGACCAGACCCACTCCGACAAATCACCAGGAACAGGCTTTATTCTGTAAAAAACATAGAACAGGAAAACAGTTCAGCAGCCCCTTCTCTCAGCATGCAGGTTGTGTGCTGCTTCTAGCACAGTCCTTGCTGAGACCCTGCTGGGAGGAACCAGGAAGTTCTCCCAACATGCCGCAGTTTGTAGACCACAAATTGTAGTTCCCAGGGCTGCTGCTGAAACACACTGGACCTTGGGCTACACCCATGAGGCCTGAGAAATTGTTGTTAGCTATTCATTCACTATGAAATAAAGTATCAATGCTCTTTTTGGCAGTTACTGCTTACTTCTATGTAATGCTTCCTGATACAATATTTGTAGATTAATGAAAATGAGTTTGTTGTCTTTGGCTTGGGATTAATCTTTGCTGACCTCTAAGATAACAAAATTTTTATTCCTACAACAGATTGAGAACATGAATGACCAGATAGATTTGTTCTCCAAAAGGTTCCATCTTAAAAAATTCTTTATCAGAACTTGACATACTCCCTATCCTGTCTTCTCTCCTGGATTCAGCAGGGCTTCCCACTGAACAAGTCAGAGTATTATACTAGAATAAGCCTCTATAAAGATAGCTGTGAGGAGCCTGCCATCCATGAGCTGCATGCAGATGAAAGTGAATAATGCAATATGCAGCATGCAGCAATATTCTGCCAGTACTGATTCCATCTACACAACAAATACTCATCATGTGCACATAGACGGCAACTGAATCAATTATTATCTTTCAAGAAGCATAAAACAAAGAGTCACATTTTCAAAGCAAATGTCACCCAAAAAGCTAAGAGAGACAAAAGCCAGATAAAAATATGAATAGGAAAGATTATTTTTCCAGTTGTGAAATGCAGTGTGGTTTTCCTTCACTTTTTGAAGGGTCACAGAAAAAGTCCAAAACACACAACTACATTTTAGTCATTAATCTTCAAAGGAGCTGGTTTTGGCAAGAAAAGAAAAGTGATACTAATATTTTAACACATAGGGGATAAAGCTAGCAATGTCACTCACTCTCAGAAAGTGAAATTAATTTGAAGCATGCCACTCTCAAACTTTCTTGCCCTGAAGAATAACAAGTTTTCTAGTGAAAAAAAAAGTGAGCACTTAGCAAATTTGAACATAGAAACCTCAGCTAACAGTAACCTCCAGGGGGAAAAAGCAAACTCCAGTTTACTTATTTTTCCTTGTTTCTGGGAAAAAGACAAGTGCCATACAAATACAATGGCAACACAGGTTTTAAAATGTAAATATCTGAAAATCTAGAACACAAAGTTATTGGCACTGCACTTTCAAGGGAAGAAATAAGATACAATATCTTTCAAATTAAAACCGCAAGATTGCAGATGTGTGCCTCATTCATTTTATTATCTAGTAGATTCAGACGGTGTTGCAAAGCAGTGTGTATGTTTGTCACACCCATTTGATTTTTGAGCCAATTTATAGAGATGAAGTTAGAATATTTGTGATAAACATACTGACTGCTTTGTAACAGTCTGAATCTACTGGATGATAAAATGAGTCAACAAATGGGCTCGACTGAATATTTCAACTCTCCTCCCAAAGCCAGGATATGGCCTTAGTTTTTAGATAGCAGACAACTCCCTGTTTAGGCCATGGACTGCGTTACTTGAATGCTACTCAAAAAAGCACTGGGGCACATCTATACTTACCGCAAGATTGACACACCAATGGTCGATCTTCTAGAGTTTGATTTAGCAGGTCTAGTATAGACCTGTAAATCGAATGCTGAGGGCAGCTCCCACCCGCATCTGGTAATCCTCCCTTTGCAAGGCATAAGGGAAGCCAATGGGAGCAAATGCTTCCATCAGCCTCATGCATTATGGACTCTACCACAGCTCAGCTTAAAGTAAGCTGATTCTAGCTATGCATTTTGTGTAGCTGGAGTTGTGTACTTTAAGCCGACTTTCCTTGTCCAGTGTAAACCTGGCCTAGGAGCGTAACTAGTTTGGCTGTTGTGGGGAGGCTTGTTCCCCATAGCTTTCATATGCTACTGAGAGCAGGGTTTGTCTTGGTTTCCTCTAACAATTTTGTAGTATTGCTTACAAGCTGTTAAATGGTTGCCACTTTTTATGCCAGAGGTGGCTGTATTTAACTAAGCAAATGGATATCGAAATATACTATACGTAGCTAGTTAAACTGTCTTTAATATGCTTTGGAATCCTAAACTGAATGAAAACCTATATATAAATGTAAATAATTTATCTATGCTCATAATTATTATCCTTTAACATTACCATTAGTGAGACAGGAAAGAAAACTCAAGGCCCATATTCATAGTTTAAGCTAAGGCTGAACAAAGCCAGTTTTGACTTCCACAGTCTACATTATCCATGAAAAAATTGTACTACAAAAAGAACAGTAACTCTTTCATTTAGCAAAATTAAAACTATTCTCCTTCCAGCCCCACCTTGTCCCAGGACTGGAATTTCAAGATGTTCAGATATTTCCAAACAAAAGTATTCTATTGTGATTATGAATTAATAATACATATTTGTTGGCTCTTGTTTCAGTTATGGAGAAATTCTGGCATGTATCCAGCCAGATGTGGTTCCTGGTATTAAAGCCTAAGAAATAAGTCACAAGGAAGACTAATGAACAGCCACTGATGTTGAAAAATAAGTTTCCTAGGAGATAGAGGGAGTTGAATGGATTTGATGTCATAGTGTACACACACAAAAGAACAACTCCATAGTGCCCATTTTGAGTGGAAAACTCTGTCTCTAATTTTCCATTTACCTTGAATGGTATATTGGGAATATTCCCACATGGAACTCCTGAAGAAAAAGTAAGGTGAAGTTTTGTGGGCTTTTTTTTAGAAAAGAGTTAACTGAGCTTACTTTTAAGAATTCATTCTGTCACTTACTAGCATATGATAATTTAGACTCAATCTAATGTTGAATATTTACAGATTTAAAGCACATTTCAAAAAAACAATTGGTCTGAAATATTAAATAAATCAGTTTGAAATAAATCAGTTCAGTTTTCAAGGAAATGATATGTAGACAAGAGTTTTCAGTGATGCCAAAGTCGATTTCTTTTCTCAAAGGCATCAGATACTCATTTTCCACCTGAAAATTATAAGATTTTTCTAATTGCTTGAATGTAAGGAAAGGTCACCGTTCAATTTCCTTTTATTGTCATTTCAAATCACGTGGGGTATGTCTACACTACAAAGTTAGTTCGAACTAACAGACGTTAGTTTGAACTAACTTTCATAGGCGTTACACTAGCACTCCGCTAGTTCGAATTTAATTCGAACTAACGGAGCGCTTAGTTCGAACTAGGAAAACCTCATTTTACGAGGATTAAGCCTAGTTCGAACTAGCTAGTTCGAATTAAGGGGTGTGTAGCCCCTTAATTCGAACTAGTGGGAGGCTAGCCCTCCCCAGGTTTCCCTGGTGGCCACTCTGGCCAACACCAGGGAAACTCTATTGCCCCCCTCCCAGCCCCGGAGCCCTTAAAGGGACACGGGCTGGCTACTGTGCCCGTGCCAGGTGCAAGCCTGCCAGCACCCAGCCAGCAGACCCCGTACCTGGCACGGCTCGAGCCAGCCACCCGCTGCCACCCAGCCTTCCCCCTCTTCCCGGGACCAGGCTGGGTGCCCGGGACCACGGGAGGCGGGCACCCGCCTGGGCTAGTGCAGACGTCGTGGATCTTGTCCACAATCTCCACACTAGGCACTATAATCTCCCTGTGGCAACTACATTAATTGCTTTTGTGGGAAAAGTGATATTATAAAAGCGTATGTACATATTTAGCTGTCTTTTAGTTGCCAGTGTCCAGTTATAGCAGGAGTAGGCAATTTTTAAAATTAAAAATTAAATTTCTGAAGTGGCCCCAGGCCGCCTCAGAAGGTGCAGGGTCTTGGACAAAAGGGGCAGGGCCAGGAGACTTCTCGTGCTTCCCCCACAGACCCTGATTGGTGTGAGGGTGGAAAAATGTGTGAAGTCTCCCCCCATTCCCAGCACCTAGAGAGACTTACCAGCTGTTTTAAAACAGCTGGTGGTTCCTTCTAGGCACTGCAACAGGAAGAGACCTCACTCACTCCCCCTCACACTTCAGTCAATGAGGGCCCGGTGTGGGAGGAGTGCCCCAAGTCTCTTATCCTCTGTCCTCCGCCCTGCCAGGGGTGTGCAGCAGCTACCGTCTACTTTAAAACAGCTGGCGATTCCCTCTGATGATGTGTGCCCTTGGCTGGGGGAGGAGACTTCGCAGGTTACCACCACTCCCAGGCCAATCAGGGTGGATTGGCCTGGGGGCAGCAGGGCAGGTCTGGGCTGGATCCACTGGCATGGCAAGGCCTGTGTGCCCACCACTGAGTTATAGACTCTAAATACTGCAATTTTGCATTGGTCTGTAGGATTAATCTGTCATCTTACGCTTCTCGTAAGTGGTAACAGTAGCTATCCTGGGGAATACCAATGGATATCTACTATGGCAACTGTTATGATGGCTGTAATGGAAACAAACCAATGTATAGCAAACAGAACAACTTTTCTTATTTCATTAGGGAAATATACGGGGAAAAGAGGTGAAAAATGTGGGGGGCATTTGAAATTTTAGCGTGTGTCCTTTGAAATTAGAGCTGATTTTTTTTTTGTTAATCCTCTTTGCTATGCTTTAATGAAATGAGCAATATGGAACCACTGTTGTATTACTTTAATACTGTAATTTTCAGGTGAGCAAAAATGAAAAAATAAGGATGTTTTAAGTTTGCTTTCTTTAAAAGGAAGTTTTCTGAAAATCTCTCTGGTCTCGGAAGACATGTACCAATTCTAAGGAATTTTGCCAATGGCTTCTTTCAATATTAGGAGGCTAGGAACCTAAATGATGAAATTCTTCAGCTTTGTGGAATAGGTAACCAACCAACCAAAAACCAAAACATACCAGATCATCCTCCAGGGTATGTAGCTATTTTGGCAATGTCTGCAGAGTAGCTAAAGCTGGCAACCAAGTAATTCCTGAGAATAGTTATTGTGTTTCTTCCTAAAAAATTATAATTATAACCAGGACTGCTTTAGCTATTTGTTTTTAATGAAAGAAAAATAAATCATGTTACAATTTCTAGCATATTGGGGTAAAACTTTTTTTAAAAGTAGTATCTGACTAAAGTTCATAGACTAAAATTCAGGTTTTGTTTATTTTAGAAATATCATAATTAGAGTAAATACACAATTAAATTAAAAAACTGGGCTACTGCTAGGCAAATACTTTAATGGTAACAATTATCAAGAAGAATTTTTTACGTTCATAAAATTACAAAAAGAGAAGTTTTATTTATAATACTGTCAACACTGGCAGATCTCAATAGTGCTTCCAAAACATGCTCTTTGCAAATAATCAATAACCATAAAATACAAAAAAAATCTAATTCTTAATATCAAAAGTTAAAATGATCTTCCAATATTCAATACTAACAGCAAAGATTTGTTAAAAAAAATATTTTTTAGGACAAATGTAACCACTGTGTCACTGTCACAAGAATTCCTATTGAAACTTTGCAGTGAATTTCACAAATTGATTTTACGATCAATGTAACTAAAGAATACCAAAAATTCTCAGTGACCAAAGAATACAGTGTTTTGGTAGTGCCACAGAACTCTACAGATTTGAGGAACTAACTAATAAACAAATAGATCAGCTTCTTAGAGAGGATGCTAGTAATCCAGTTTTTTTTAAAAAAAAGAACACACTGATTTGATCACAATATTAGCTAACAAATTCTCAGTACTTGGTGAAAGATACTGAAGCTTTTTAATTTTCATGTTTCATTGTTAGATGAACCACTGCATTATGAACAGACTGAAACTGATCCAGAAGAGGCAACTCAGCAATGCATCAGTAAAGTTGACAAGAATGGGATACTTATGTTCTCTTTAGCTTTATCTGGTGGGAAGCATCATATCCCAACCTGTATCAGAGTTGAAGGATGAGTTCTAGATCTATAAAATTTGGATTTCTTCAATTGTTTAACTCGTAATAAGCAGAAATCATGTTAGAAGTCAGGAGTTTTGGTGTGCCCCTCATCATAATAGAATCCATAAGTGTAATCTGTCTTTAGTATTTTGATACACTCACGCACATCCTTTGCCATTCTCAAAAGTCTTGATCACAGGACTTCTAACACTGGAGGAGGGAGCATTTCTATATGCTGAGACTATAATATCATTTCTAGAAGTATCATCTTGCATTTTCCCAGTATATACCATACACTACAGAATAATGCTGATAGCAGTTACCTGATACTGGAACCCAGATAATTACAATTCCAGCCCATTTCTTCTGGACTTCTTTGAGTCTTTACCTAATTTACATATCTGATAGGGCTATCTCTACTCTGGAACATATCTTGATAATTTTCAGTCTTGTGTATAACTGCTTAAAATCAGGTGAAGCGATAAAAGTTTTCCAATTCATCCACTGCTGCTAAAAATCAGGAGATTATGCAGCTTTAGGCTAATAGACTTGGATGACAATACTGGCCGTAGCCCTCTGTGCTGCTTTTGTGCAGTTAATTTTTATTATTGATTCTCATATATACTATGCAACAGCCTCATTAGATAGACACATAGGGCTAAATTCTAACCAGAACTAGGCAACACAACCTTATTTGTCTTAATGCAGTTTCAAGAACAGAATGTGGCCCATTTACTTTTGCCTGAAGTATAAATTCCTAGTGACATACTCCAGTCTTTAGCCTCTTTTTACTCCTTTTGATTTATTTGCTTGGCTTCATTACACGCTGCAGAGCACTGTTTGTGCATTAAGTTGTAACAAAGTCTGTGCTACTTGGGAGGTACTTTTTATCTTGTTCAAAATGCTGAACTTCCCACAGAACCCCAAGTCTTTGTGAAAATGTATCTTTCTATTTAAGAATAGTGCAGTATACTATTGGTCCTCAAGTCAAGACCGATGCTAACAATAATGACAAAGACCCTTAGGGTAATGCAATGTCACTGTTTATAAAAATAAAATGCAAGTCTACAGAGCATTCTTTCACGAACCCAGAATTATATTCCCTTTTCTGTAATACCTGCCTTACATCTTTGTACAGGACAGTTAGTCAATGGCACATAAACCATTAAAATGAGAAATAGTCAACGAGTCATAAGATGGCGATGGCACACCACACTACATCACAGAGAGTCCATGTGGTCTGCAGGACTGATATTAGTGCAGGGCTCCATGATTTCCTGAGTTCCTTCCATCTCCATAGAGACACTTATAACTCTTTTGTTTATGGAAAACTTACTTAAAATCTCTATTTCAGTTTTCATTTCAACAAAAGGAGAAGGATAATAGTCACTTATTTATCTTCACAAAAGAGCTATACAGATGATTAATTATGCAAAGTAAAATTCACCATTCTCTTCACACAGCTTGAGTGACTTGTCCCTGTCTGTGTAAGGATGCATGTGCGAGGAATATGGCCAGTCCAAAAGGACACTCTGGGGGTATGTCTACACTACCACCCTAGTTCGAACTAGGGTGGTAATGTAGGCATACCGCACTTGCAAATGAAGCCCGGGATTTGAATTTCCCGGGCTTCATTTGCATAAGCCGGCCGGCGCCATTTTTAAATGCCGGCTTGTCCTTGAGTCGTGTTATGGAACATGATGGGGTAAGCGAGCCTTTAGGACCAATTGTGGTTGAGTGGCACTCATATTGCATAAGAAGTAGGGAGAGTCCTGACCATTACTTGCATGAGGTGAAGATGTGGCCAAAATGGATGACACTTTATTGTAACCGGGATTGCCTAGTTTTATTTCTGAATAGATTTAAATTGGTGATCTTGTAATCTTGGTTAGTTTTGTTTGGAAAAATTGCTTCTTCATACTTGAACGTAATAATACCAATTGGGGGACCTATGTATCTCAAATCTTAACTATATTATTAATACCTTAGGGTATGTCTACACTACCCCGCTAGTTCGAACTAGCGGGGTAGTGTAGACATACCCTGGGATATCAATGGCCCTCCTTCCACTGCTTTCACCTTGTGATGCTTTTGAGCCAGTAAATCTTCCTAAATTCAAATCCTATGGCTCTTCCTGGCTCATATCCAGTGGTTTGCTTCACACCAGACAATGAGGACCCAGTGCTAATACATCTTTCCAAACACAACATGCCTGTGTGGGATCCAAGGCCTGTGGACACTCTCTGCCTCCTATTCCACCCATTTTCTCTCTCCAACAGAATCACAACATGGGTCTTCTGCAGCTAGCTGAATTTCTCCCTTAGTTGTTAGCTTTCAAAGAACTGAGGTCCAGCCTCCCTTTTAATTAGTGCAATTTTTCACCAGCAAAGTTCATGCTAACATTATGTATGTATAAAATGAATGGTGGATACAGATCTGATCATTCAAACCTCTAACTCCTTGATATGCTTCAAAATTTATCTGAAGGTGGAAAATGCTCTTACAAAGGAGGTGTTTTGAAATTTTGGCTCTCACTATTGATTTAGTACTTCACAATGTTTATTGAATTGTTATGGTCTACATTTTACTTGGTACAATTAAGGATTTAAATCTTGACATCCTTAGTAAGAAGACTCAGAAATGTACAGTGCTACAAGGAAGTTGCCTAGGTGTATCAGGTAGTCTTTGGGCAACTCATTGTGGGAGGATTTGGGCCAGTTTGGGTAAGTAAAAGTGCTGGGCCAGCTGGCAAGAGCACTCTGGAAGCCCAATGCAGGAACATGAACAGATTGGAAGTCCAGGCAGATGGTGAGAATTCTTAATGAAGTAGTGACATTGTACAAACTATCTTGGTGTTTTGTCTGTGGGAGTAAATATCTGTCCCTGAGGGTCATCTCAAGTCCTGGAGCATGGATTGGCTGCTGCAGTAAACGTACATGTAGGATGAGTAATCACAGGCTCTGGCTGAAGATTTACCTCACAGGGAAGCCCTTCTAACTTGTAAGCCCAAGAGCCAACTAAATAGTAGCAGAGTAAAAACAGATCTCAAAAACAGGCCTGAGGATTTGATTCCTGATTCATAAGGAGTCTGTCTCAAAATGCTTAGATAAAAAGAACCATTGTGGGGCCAAGAAGACACCATGAGAGAGGAGTGAGGCAGGATTTAGGATTCACTCTAGATGGTCTCTGTAGCCTCTTGTATCAGAGTATAGCATGCTATCTTGTTACAGATTATGCAAGATCTGCCTGCTCACCAGCCCATGGTACTTTTGCATGCTAAATTAAAATGCAGAAGGCAACAAATGGAACAACAGCAGGCCTATGAGACAGACCATGCAAGTGGGCCTATCAGAGCACCATGAAGGTCTGTAGCAGTGCTTCCAAATCCCTATCTGAAGGAAGAAATGATTGTATGATCTCCCTAGCCACAAGTAAAGAAGATAGCAATGGTGAGTAAACACTTATTCATAAATGATCTGGAGAAAGGGGTAAACAGTGCAGTGGCAAAGTTTGCAGACGATATTAAACTGCTCAAGATAGTTAAGACCAAAGAGACTGTGAAGAACTTCAAAAAGATCTCATCAAACTAAGTGGCTGGGCAACAAAATGGCAAATGAAATTTAATGTGGATAAATGTAAAGTTATACACATTGGAAAAAATAACCACACCTATACGCTAATTTAGCTACAACTAATCAGGAAAGAGATTCTGGAGTCATCGTGAATAGTTCTCTGAAAATGTCCATGCAGTGTGCAGCAGCAGTCAAAAAAGCAAACAGGATGTTAGGAATCATTAAAAAAGGGATAGAGAATAAGAGAATATCTTATTGCCTTCATATAAATCCATGGTACGCCCTCATCTTGAATACTGCCTCTCCCCAAATTACGAATGAGTTATGGACCAAACACTTGGCCGTAAATCAATCCGTTCATAACTCGGACCCCACTGAGTTACACGCAACCATGCTGTTTGTAAACACGGGTCACGTTCTTAACTCGGGGACCGCCTTTATGACCTCCCCATGGGCGCTTTGGTCGTAAGTGCGAATGGTCGTAACTCGACTGTTGGCAACTCAGGGAGCAGCTGTACTGTGTATAGATCTCGTCTCCTCATCTCAAAAGAGATATACTGGCATTAGAAAAGGTTCAGAGAAAGGCAACTAAAATTATTAGGGGTTTGGAATGGGTGCCATGTGCGGAGAGATTAAAGAGACTAGGACTTTTCATCTTGGAAAAGAAGAGACTAAGGAGTGATAAGATAAAGGTTTATGGAGAGAGGTTAAAGCAACTGGGACTTTTCAGTTTAGAAAAGAGGAGACTGAGGGGGGATATGATAGAGGTATATAAAATCATGAGTGGTATGGAGAGGGCGGATAAAGAAAAGTTATTTATTAGTTCCCATAATAGAAGAACTAGAGGACCCAAATGAAATTAATGGGTAGCAGGTTTAAAACTAATGAAAGTTCTTCTTCACACAGTGTGTTGTCAACCTGTGGAACTCCTTGCCAGAGGAGGCTGTGAAGGCTAGGATTATAACAGAGTTTAAAGAGAAGCTAGATAATTTCATGGAGGTTAGGTCCATAAAAGGCTATTAGCCAGGGGATAGAAATGGTGTCCCTGGTCTCTGTTTTTCAGAGACTGGAGAAGGATGGCAGGCGACAAATCAATTGATCATTGTCTTTGGTCCACCCTCTCTGGTACACCTGGTGCTGGCCACTGTCGGTAGACAGGCTACTGGGCTAGATGGACCTTTGGTCTGACCCAGTACAGCCGTTCTTATGTTCTTATGTCTATAAAACCATGAGTGGTGTGGAGAAAGCGAATAAGGAAAAGTTATTTACTTGTTCCCATAATATAAGAACTAGGGGCCACCAAATGAAATTAATGGGCAGCAGGTTTAAAACAAATCAAAGGAAGTTCTTCTTCACACAGCACATAGTCAATCTGTGGAACTCCTTGCCAGAGGAGGTTGTGAAGGCTAGTACTATAACAGGGTTTAAAAGAGAACTAGATAAATTCATGGAGGTTAAGTCCATAAATGGCTATTAGTCAGCCTGGGTAAGGAATGGTGTCCCTAGCTTCTGTTTAGCAGAGGGTGGA